TGTCCACATACTTTTGGCCAAGTAGTGTACAGTCGTTCCATTATTCCATTATTTATTTAACAATTCATATATTTTCTGTTTTATGTATTATCTTATGTCGGTTTTGGTGAATCCCTTTTTCATTTGAACCATTTATTGATTGATTAAAGATATTATAATTCCTTTTCACTGGCCAATTAGAATGAAATAATGAATTACTCTGTGTTAATAATTACAGTTTGTTATTAATTAATGGGATTCTTCATCATTATTTCCCCATGTGGCTCTGAAGCCTCCAGCTGTACACACTGTGAGCAGTTCACTGTCAGCTTTAAGAAAATTTGACATTAAATCTTAATAAAAGACACGTTAATAAGACCAGAGACTCCTGTAGACTGACCTTTTTCTGTCTGTGTGTCAGACCGTCTGTCCAGCTCCTCTCGGTGTCTCCGCCCCCACAGACGGACCCCGCCACCCTGACAGCCTGACACTCCACCCATCATCCGACGCACCGGTCAGTTTACCTCAAATACTATATTTTACAGCAACTTGTCAGGTTTGTATTTAGTTTGTATTACAGCACATTCCACCATTAGGGGGCAGTATTCATGTGTAATTATAGAGGGATAAAACTATTTTCAGCCTGTTTCTGCAGGTTTCATCAGGTTCAATTTAAGGCTTTGAAACCATTATGAATTCAATTGAACACCTACTGTACATCCACACTGAGAAAAAAAGAAAAACAGCTTCGATTCCATGTTGGTTTGGTTTTATAATCATAAATGATAAATAAATGTTATTTTTAACACTCAAAAGTGAGACTGACAAACACACACAAGTTACATTATTAATCCAATCAGACCTGTCAAAATATCATCATATTTAAGACATTTTAAGGTGATTGGGTGGATTTTAGACAGTTTAAGACTCTCTGGTTAGTTTGGGTCTGTTGAACAGGATCAAACAGGTGACGAAGCCGAACAGAACAACAAGAACAGGAACAGAAGCAGCAACAGCGCCCCCAAGAGTCTGAGAGAGGCTGACACCCTCAAAAAGGTACTGCACTCGTTCACAGTTACACACAGTGGAGGAGGATGTCCACAGAGCTGCTACACATGTTATTACTATCATTATTATTATTATAACAGTGAGATGCATTTTAATATTATAGCTGTATTTTTAAGGGTCATTATAGGGTTTTAAAATCTCAAACTACAGGTACCTGATAAATGTAGTGCAGTAAAAAGTCCAATATGGTGGTGGAGTACTTTTTCCTCCACTTATTATTTTAATTAACACAGCGATGAACAATAATGTGCTGAAGTTTGTGGTAAATCTGACCTGAACACGTAAACATCATCAGTCAGTCTGTATAGAACAATAAATAGACCTCAGAGTTTTTCCTTCCAAATATCCCAGAAACCTGCTTCTGCTGACTGAATCAGGACGTGCGTGTGTGTGTGTGTGTGTGTGTGTGTGTTTCTTGCAGAGGTTGAAAGTTGCAGAGTCTCCAGAAAATGATCTTCAGGCTCAGAGGGTGTCGCTGGAGCAGCAGGTAAAGTAAAGACAGAAAATCTGAATCTACATCTGCAGACAAATAATAAATGTATTATTTTTTTATTTCCAACTTGTGAAGGAAAACAAAAAACAAGACAAAGTGATATTGAATCGAATAAACAATATCCTTATACACAAACTCAATGAATAAATCCTCATAACAATAAGTAATAATACACTTATTTATTCCTACATGTCTCTATTCATTATAAACTTCACATTTATTTACATAAATACACATTTGAACACATTTTGTACCTCTGGACAATATCAGTTCCACACAAATACGCAAAATCTTAGTAGTATGAAAAGTTTCTTTAAAATAAATGATAACCATTCAAAGGACAGTTTCTGTATATTACTGGCTGGTAAACAGTTTCTTGCTTTCTAGATTATTTCTATTAGATCCATAAACTTGAAAACATTTGACTTTAAGCAGTTTGTTAGTGTTAGTTCTTGAAATGTAATGTAAGAAGTGAATTAGTGATGAATCTCCCTCATGCACAAATCAAACAGTAGCCCGAGTTTACACATAATCCCTGATAATGAAGATGAAGCAAAAAAGAGCTTATTGTCAATATTGTAGAGACCCACCAAAATTTCATAAATCATGTTTTCTGAGGAGCTCAGAGGATTTCTGTTTATTCCTTCTGGGCGGATGTCTATAATCTATAGTAGAACAAAGAGGTATAAAAACATACCATGACACAGAGTTGTTATTGTTTGTATCTGTATTTATTCTGGTAGTTCTATATCTCAGTGTTTTTTATTGATCTCTCTTTGTAAGTCCTGGAGCACCTTCATCTTTTATCATGTTTGTCTCAGTTGTTTGTTGTCTTTATATATATATATATATATATACGCTGAACTGATGTGGTTTTAGGAGAAATAAAACAACCTTCAGCAGCGTGCCTTGTAAAACAACTGTGTGTATCCGAGCAAAAGGAAAGTCTTTTAGAGAACATAAATGGAGTCTTTGTTTTTACTACAATAAAAACCATCAATGAATACAGTAATCTATGTTTCACTTCAAACCAAGATAGACTTCCATTCATTCTAGAAATGTTTGTTCTCATCTTTAAGGGGGGCCGGGCGGCTCACGAGCATGATCTGTGTTACGTATCACCACAGATAGTCTCAGGAAGTCATCCTGGTCCAGTCTGATAAACGGATCCAGTCTGTAACCAGGATCCAGCTTGTAACCGGAATTTTCTCTCAGTGTGATCCAGCAGTGCACTACTTGAGTAACTGGACTTACCATGAAGTGATGAACGTGCAGATTTATTCTTAAGGACTCTTTAACAGGATTTTATTATGTTGTTATAATTATGAATACGCACATATTAGTTTATTATAAGAACTGTGTTTGTATTTATGGTCTGGAGGTGGTATTTCTTTTATATATAATAGATCAGTCCAGCAGTAATGTTGTATAAAGTAAATAGTAACTCGTGCGTTTTACTCAGATTGCGCGACAGTCTCCTGGGAGGCGTGTCTCGTTTGTCGTCTCTGTTTGACTCGACATGATCTGGTTTTCTCTTCTTGTCATCAGAACGTACTGTTGCCCAGCTTGCTACTAGCGCTCTCTCGTTTGACCACGCCCTCGGTATGATAATACACACCTACTGCCTGTTGTTCTCTTTCACATTACATCACCACACTCACACTCTACACACAGCACATACATCGAGTTCAGTTGACGCACACACTACTACCTACACTACATAGCACTCACACACACAGACACCTATACCACACTTTCTCTGCCTATCATTTTTGCTAATCAGTGTGCGTGATGTTCGTACTATCACTATCTCACATGGTGATCTGTCTGGTATTTAAAATAAATATCATAATCATCCATAGTAGAATATGTTCCTTTTAGGTCTTTTTATCAGAATATATCTGTCAAATTAAATGTGTGTTTTCTAATATTTACTACACCTTATTATGCAGTACATGATATTGGACCAAAAATCACATTACATAATATATTTTCATGGCCTACTTTTTGAGTATTATATATTATATTTTTATTTCTTGTTTTTATATTGCTTATATTTAAATTATGTTAAGTATATTTTTTTTATTTTTTACTACATTCCTTGTTATTATGAGTGCATGTATGTTTGCTAGCTTATACCTTTTATTAACTAGGTGCTAATGAATCAACTATAAAATAACTTAATCAACTAAAATTACAGGTATCAATATTGTTAAATAAATTAGTTGTTGTCAGTCAGTAAGTCCTTTCTTGTCTAGTTTTCAATATATACCTTTTATTTCACATCAGACTTTGACTAGCCCTTTTCTATATATATGGCTCTAAAAGTCCCAAAATATCACAAGAACACTTTCTTCACACCACTGAATGTCATCAAGTGACAACACTCAGTTTGCCATCATCTTCTCGCCAAATATAATTAGTCTGTTCTATTCTCCAGTAAAACTCACAAAAAAGTTCCCCTACCCTAACCTAGACGCTCAACCGTTCCTCCTGTTAGCACCTAGTACGGCCTAGTGCACACAGTCAGTAACACCACACACCACACACACACACACCACAGTGGCTGTTGTGTATCTGTGTGTTGTGTGTGTTTGTCCTTTACAGCGACCTCTTCCGACGATTACTCGAAATCCGAGCCCTCCTGCCACTCTTTTCTGCAAGTTCCACCGTTAAACAGGCTCCAGGTTCCTCTCGTCCCGGTAACTGAAGCCTCCGCTCACTCAGTACCCGTCAGGCGGAACCTTCGCCTGGCGTCCTGGCGGCAGGGCGGCCCGATGGCCTCCTCGTGGGACGCCCCGCGGAGGGTCCACCCCGTTCACCTTGCACACACACACCACACAACACGACACACACACCATTAAACCCACAGTCCTCCACTGAAGTACACATCTCAGTCTGTGTCCAGCAGGCGGGAGAACAAACCCAAGCTTAATGCACAGTACCTGCTGCTGTACCCACACGCGCGCACCCAAGTGACAGTACCTCACGTATCTGGTCTCCGCCCACACGCCGTCCGTCTCTGGCTGTGCTCCTTCTTCCATAACCCGGTCAATGGATCACTTATGCCCGTCTTTGGTTGGAGAGACCCAGAGCCGAAACATGAGGGAGACGAGAGTGTTTTCATAAGGCTGAACATCCTCTTCAATTACTGAGGAAACTCGCTGTATACTCAATCTATACTCTAAGACATATTGGTATTATATTATCCCATTAATCATATCAACCAAACCCAGCTATTTTCTGTGTAAGCTACTGTTTAGTCGCGAACAAACCAACACTCTCCCGTTAGTGGAAAAACAACAACTACTCTTAGTGCGCACAGCCAAAACAACAACTACTGTTAGTGAACAACAACAACCAACAACTACTTAGGCCTGGTTTAGCCTGGTTTTTGTGGAGTCTGTGTGTGGATGGTGTGTTCGTTAACATTTTTTACTATACACACACATTCAACACCAACACAAACCAACGGAACAAGGAATAAACAGCATATATCTTTACCCAGCTGTGTGCTCTCTTCCTCCCACTATACCTGGAGACCTAGTCCTGATCGACCTTGCTACAGATCGTCCACACAGCATCCTCCTGACAGGAACCACCGCCACAGGATGATGGGGTCTGAGGAGGAAGGAGCCGAGGGGGAAGAGCGGAGGAGGAGAAGATCAGTTTCCCTTTTTCCCCAACAAAAATTTCTCTGTTTTCTTCTACCCACAATTCTCTTTTTTTTTAAATTTGCAGAGGCACCAAACTGTTTGCTCCCCCTGTACCGTCAGTGTTTCTCTATCAGCCTGAGTAAACTAAGTGACACTATTTTATGGATGTCTTCCTATTCTACTTACCTCTTATTGATCAACAGTGACACAATAACTGCAGGAAGTTTGATTCAAATCCTCGTTGAATATTGACTCACACCGACTGGATCGCTACTTAACAAGCTTCCTTTTATTTTGTTCGCGACGGTCTTTGCGTTCTAGGCGTTTACTCAAAAGGTGAAGGCTCTCGGGATAAAGACTACATTCAAGTTAATAATAAATCCAGCTAGAAAATCTGTAAAATCTAAACTGTTAGAAATACATAACTTTCTTAGAAATGGCACCAAAAATTAATACGTGTCAAAAACTAATTCTGTAAGTTTAAGAATTCTACAATGTCTCAATGTAACACCGCATTATGTGAAAACATCTATCTGTACCTGTAAATAACTATAACCCATCGCTACTGGACTTATTCTAAAAAACATTTCTCTTTTTTATACATCACCAATCACATTTTGCAAATCTATAATTTTTAATTTAACTGGATCTAAATGTTACAATTCAAAAATAATACTGTTAACTTTGTAAACATTACTGTCAAACATCCAGTGACATCTAACAGTAAAAAGTATTAAGTTGCTGTAATTCTCTAATGGATTAGGTTTAATGGATGTACAGTTTGGCATTATCGTTGTATTCCTAGCAGAGTTTACCCTGTACTCTTATAGCTTTAATCAGCCTCATCTGCTTTTCACAGTTGCACAATATCTTTAAGTTAACATTTAACACAAGACGAAACTATGCCGTTGCCTTGTCTCGCTTTGTGTGTGTGTTTTTGCGGATGTGTGTGTGGTGTGTGTGTGTTGTGCTGTCTGTGGTGTGTGTGTGTTTTGATGGTGTGTGTGCTGTACCTCTGCTTGGCGGTACTGCAGGTCTGGGGCCTGTCAGCGAGGAGTCTGCTTGCTGTCTGTTTACTGCAGCCTGCCTGTGAGACTGCAGGACTGACACACACACACACACCACACACACACACACACACACCACCACACACCACCACACCACCCCACACACACAGCATGTTAGGATCTTTCTTTCGCCGCATGCAGAAG